GCATCTTCCCTTTTTACATGTGGCAGAGGTGCTACAGTAAAGGGGAAGTTGTTGTAAAAAAAGAAAACTCAAGGTAAGCCACTTCTCAGTTTGGCAGGAAATAAAAATTGTTAGTCACCACGCTGGCACTAACTCCATGGCTTGTGTGACTGTTAACGAGTCTAGCAGACCATCTAGGCAAGGAAGAGGATAGGGATATGATTTTCTTTTTCCTGGCATTTTCTCTCCTCAAGTGGATCATCTTAAATATTGACATCATTCTCAGCAGTTAATATATTTGAATATTTAATATGGAAAATACTGTAATTCCAGGAATGACACCGTATGAGTGGAGTTCCACTGATTTGTAAGCCAGGTGATGACCACAACCCTAAATTTGCCTCTTCTAGAGGAGTCCTTTTTTTCAGCTCTTCCTTTGATTTCTGTCTTAGAGCAACTCAGAGAAGGTAATCTTTGTTTTTGCATCTACTACAATTTGTCTTTTGGTCGGCAGAATTAAAAAGGAGGGGGGAGAGGATCATTTCAATTGTGCTTCAGCACAGATGCCCTAAGTTTTATAATTTATTATGTCTTTTTTTCCTCTGAAGATCCTCTGTCATGTTACAGAAAGTACTGGCCTGGTTTGGGAACTGTGACATGCAAATTCATGTACTAAGGCTATCTAAAGGGAAGATAAGTCTTATCCTCAGGGCAGAGGCAGTTCCTCAAAAGACAGTAGAGTTGAGCTGGAAAATGAATATTTTTCTTGGAGCTGGAGCTTTCTTTTCTTTTTCTCATGTGTTGCAAATTCTTGGCTCCTTCTGAAAAAATTCTACTGAAGACTTTCTCTTGAACTTATGTTTACCTTCTCTTTTGCCTTTCTGTCACTCATCTTGCTGCTATGCCTCTCTATCTCCTCCATGAGAGTCTAGAGTAATAGAAAAACTGTGTTTGTCTAGACTGGGAGTGCAGAGATAACTGACCTGGTGGTGTTTGAGTTAACCCTGTAGATAAAAGTTCCTTTCAGAGTCAAGTGAAGCACCCCGAAGAGAGGTTTTATTAGTTTAGGCACACCACCAGGCAGTACTACTCTTTAGTGTGAGCTGTTTGGTCAACACCATTGTTAATGCTGCACAGAATGTAATTGCTGGAGAGAGTCAAAGGCAACGTGGAAAACCTCTGCATCACTCTTCAGTGCGAGATGTGGATACATCTCTCATGTTTGCTTCTGTTGGCAGCTGCATTTATTGTGGACCTAGCCTTGTCTTTTTGTGTGTGTGTCAAAGAGATGTAGATTTGTTGGTAGCCTCTTCATAGTAAGTGAAACATGCAGGTAATTTGTTGTTCAGCTCTTAAAGCAGCTATGTATATGATCCATTGGCATGTTATGTGGGTATTAAGAACTTCAGAAAAACTGTTGTGTTTTTTAAATGTACATACAGTGCATAGCTGACTTAGCAATTAAACGCTGCTTTTAACCAGCATAATTATTTAATGCCTTTTATTATCTCTCTCCTTTTCTCTTGCTCTTGGCAATTATCAAAGACCTGACAAATTATGTCTTTACTTGATGATACATCTGCTTTTTATTTTTTCTGCTCTGCTTGCTTTTCCACCGAGTTTACTGGTAGATATGAATCTGACTCCAGCACAGAATCATGAGCTGTCTGAATTTTAAGTACAAGGAGTTTTTGACTCAGCTTATTATATCACTATTTTTGTGCAGTACAGTTTCTTCCAATGGATATACAAGGGTAGTGTGTACTTAAGTGCTGTTTTACTTGCTTTAATACAGATTTTCTTTTTTTCCTTTCTTTTTCTGTTAAGCGTTATTACTGTCGCTAGCAGGATTTCCCAAAATAATAATTTTTAAAAATCCCACAAAATTCTCAACAATTCTTTCCCATTTGAAATATATAATGCACATATTTACAAATAGTTTTGAATACGTAAGAATATTTTCTGCCAGTGGACTGCAAAAATGGTTGTAATTTCTTAGCAGGGGGATCAGTTTCACTCACACCTCCATGTAATGATTCTCTTGCAGGAAAACACACATCCAGCAGTAGAATGAGATCCTATTAAGTATTTGCAAATAATGCAGCAAATTTTCCTGTATTGTCTTATCTGAAATTTCTTTAGGTTGTACTGAAAGTATTGTAATTATAGTTATAAGAAAGAAAGAGCTAGACTGTGATCTCCTGTGGTAAGTATAAAGGGAATAAAAACCTCGTTTCCTCACAGCATGCCAGTCCTTTGTAGCAAACAGGGTAGGGGTTATTTGGAAAAAAAAGACGTCTTACACACATTATAATCCTGGGTTTAGATGCATTATGTATGGAGTGCTTAGGGACTGACTTCAAACTTACATAGGTGACCTTAATATGAGAACTGCATATCTTTTGAGGGATTGACTTTTTTACATTAATAGCATCCTTTTTGATTTTTTTTTTCCCCTGAGAGTGAAACACTTCTAGATAAAACTTACCATTTAATTCTGTTGTGTTAAAGGAACTGATACCTTTTATCTGTAATCCTGTAGGGTACTAATTCTTATTATTGCAATTTAAAAAATAAAACATTTCCTCTTTCCTCTTTTTTATTATGTTTATTTATATATTTTCAGATATGATTCTGGACCAGCAGGTGGGTTCTGGGCAGCTCAGTGAGGATGTTCGTCACAGAGTGCATGAGGCATTACTGAAACAGCATCACCATCAGAACCAGAAGAAGCTGAGCAACAGGATCCCAATTGTGAGATCCTTTGCTGATATTGGAAAGAAGCAGTCTGAGCCCCATTCCATGGATAAAAATGGTAATGTGTTGCTTTAATTTGCATTTTGAGCTTTCAATAACATCTGCCTGTTCAGTATCGCATGTGCTTTGTACCCACAGCTTGAACTCAGCTTGATTCTGCTCTGAAAAGCTACTGTGTAAAAGTGGTACCTTTTACATGAGAGTGATTCCTCTTATGCATTCAGTAACACACCTGTTTAAATTTGAAATTCAGGTATCCTGCACAATTCAGGGCTGTGTAGAGATATTCAAGGGAACTACCTCAGGTGTTGAAAGCAGGCTAGTTGTGTTAGTGTGCCATTCTGTCCTGGGTAATTGGCATGGCACATTATCCTCGGTGCAGCACAGCTCAAGTACACCTGTGGTGCTTTAGGCACTCAGTGCAGTCCTTCAGACTGAGCTTGAGCGTCTTTGCACAGTGTTGCTCTGAACTGTGGACATGTTCCATTAGTGCCAGAAATGTGATATGATTTTTGACTTCTGTTGACTATCCAGGGCCTATTTAGTTAAAATGTAATGGATTGTTGGAATAGTTTCCAAGTCTATGACAGTGTATGCATTAGCTAGTGTTCAACTGGTGCTTCAGATTTCATAGTTGAGTTTGAGGGGTTGGAAAATGAGAAAAACATTTTCAAGATGACACTGTTGGAGAGAAGCCGCAAGAACTGTACTCTGTTCTTTCAGAAAATCACTTTTTGGAAAATCATATTCATGAAAATGAGAGAGCATGTTTGCAGAGCAGTTCTACAGTAAAATATTGGCATAACTTTTTTCTTTCTTGCTTTCACAGAAGCCTTTATAAGCTGTACTGTTGTTATAGGTTAATAATAATGAAAGATCATTTCTTATTGCCCCTTCCTTATTTACATAAATACAGGCCTGTGTTATGAAACTTGCAGCCAAATTTTGCAAATATTTACAATTAATTCACTAGAATTAGACACTGCAGAATTACTGAGCCTCTGTATCTAGTATCATCACAATACCCACAACATTTTTGTCTGAACACTATTGGACTATAGTGACTCTTATTCCAGAAATCATGTTAGCTTTAGTGAAATCTCAGTCCCTTCTGTTTTCTCTCTGGTTCAGGGCCCTACTGAGCTCCCCTGTCACCCTGGGAAGTGGGGAGTGAGGAAACAGCCGTAGCACAGGGAAGGTGCAGGAGGCAGCTGTGTGCTGTGAGGCATAGGGCAGAAGACTGATCTGGAAAGATGGGGCTGTTGGTATAAAGATTAACTTTGATTTCAGGGGAGGACCTTTTGTTTCAATCACTGCCATATAAACTTTTAATAGGTACTTCTAAGTCTAGCTGCTTCCCTGGGGAAGACTCTCAGACCTAAAAGGCAACGTATAATTTCATCTGAAGAGGATATTAAATAGAAACATATTAATTATGCCAAAATATTGTTGTAAGAGTAAGGAAAAAATAATATTTATTAAGATGTGTGTGATTATGCATATGGATGCACAAGAGTAAAAGTAAGTAGGATGATTATCCATCATTTTTAAGGCAACTTTCCTGTTGATTTGTGCAACTCTTGCTGATGACTTAAAAAAAATATTCAGGAGACACTTGAGAAAGTTAATGCTATAATGTTCCTATTCCTCAGTATACACAGGACGCAAGATGGCAGCTTGCAGTCCATAAGCTTTTGCACTAGATCTTATATAACAAATAAGCAACAGGTCTCCATAAAAATACCCCTCAGGACAAGCTGTGAAAGTATCATAAGCTCAATTTCAGAAACTTTCTGTGTCTGTTAGTGGAACTGATGCAGTAATTCACTCCAGAAACATATCACTTTTGCCTAAGTTTCTTCTGGGAACCTTCACATCTCTATTCGAATTCCCCCCAAAATAGATTCTGATCAGGACAGCATCTAAGTCCATATTAAACACACTAATTTTATATACTCAGTGCTTAAGTGATTTTGTAAGTAGGGAGACACATTCTTACAGGTTTTCATTTGTCTGTGCTTATCGATGATTCTGGAGAGCTGCCTAATTTCTGGCACACTGACTGCTACCTCTTCTGGCATACTCTTAGTTATTTCTTTACCCTGGGTAATTTGCCATAGTACGTGGTGTGTAAATTATGCAGGAATCTACACTGAAATGCTCAGCTTTCAGGAACTCTCCTGTCCTTTGAAGCTTGACCAGGGGTAGCAGTGAGGTTTCTGATAAGTTTCTTCTGCCATTGCCTCATGACCCAAATGCTAGAGTTCAACTACCGTGTTATGCTCACTGCAGCTATATATTTCTTTTCAGATTGCCATGGAGCGTCTGTACAAGCTTTTCATAAGAATACGAAACTGAGTTGTTAAAATATAACTTTGGATCAGGTGAAAGCAAAAGAAAAATTAGCTAAATATGTGTAAAAGAAAGCAAAATTAAGGGATATAAACACCTTATATTATTGTCAAGAGTGTGCTGTAAGACACGTCTTTGTTTCCTGAGGACAAACTGGTAAAATGCAATCAAGGCATCATTTTAGCCTGCTTATTCCCATTTGTGCACAAACATTGTGTAGAATGTATGAACGTAAAATGTTCCGTATATTGCCAACAGTAGCAGTATTGTTCTCTCTTTTTAATACAAAAAATGCATTAAAATAGTAAAATATTCTGTTATCGCTTTTCCTTTCTGGATGAGAAGCTTAATTCCTAGAAGACTGCAGGGAGAAAAACGGATCGTCTCAGGTACTACTGATGAGCTTACAGCTCAGTTCACCCCTATCAGAGATCAGTGTTTTCAGAAACAACAAGTGGCCAGGAGCTTTAGAAGGGCCACTTACTCATCCCTGTTGAAATGAGGAGGGGGAACTTGGACACTTTTTCTTCACAAAAGGAAATTCCATTTAATTTAACCAATTAAATTTAATTTAACCAATTAAATTGGTTAAATTTGGGTTCAGTGTAGACAGTTTAACTGATAACAATCCTTAGCAGTCTGTAGTTTGTAAAACAGGTGGTTCAGAGCCATAAGTCCTTGCCATCTGGGTTATGTGGTACAGCTGAGGATGCAAAAACCCTTCTTTGTCCACGTTTTTGACTATGCTAGCTTAGCAATGTATCAATTTCCAGATATTCAGGAGCAAAGTCTGAAAACGAAGACACAAACTTAAATTCGATATATGGCTGTGCTGCTGACAGACCACTGATATCTTTGCTGGAAGATAGTTGTACATATGTTCTTCCTCCATTTCTTCTTTGTTTAAGAGTCTGTCAGACCATCTAATTAATTTGCTTTGTATTTAGTAGTATTATCTTTTGTTTACAATGGCTTTTCTTCACATCCTCTGCAAGGCTAAGATGTCAGGGTGCTATGGATTTACCATGCATTTTTAATGCTGCCATGCTGTGTTTAACTTTCACTTTTCATTAAGCATCAAAACTGTGAGAATTAAAAGCCTGCTTTTGATGTTCCAATAGAAACCGACAGTCATATTTGGCATAAGAGCAGGAAAAATGATATTTTTTTTTTAAAGTCTAATTTGACACCAAATACCCAAAATAGAGGGTGGCAAGTAATTTTAGTATAAATACCGTAAAAGGCAGGTAAAAATATGAATCTTTGTCATTAGTAAATCATCTTTAGAAAGTTTGGTTTGTAAAGCAATTTAACTTATTTTTATTGAGATCAATAGGTTTCTCACTCTGATACCCGAGAGCTGTGTCTGTAAATTCCTATGACATGGTCTAAAAAGCCAAAGACAATTGCAAATATACAACACCTTTCTCTTGTTAGAGGAATGCTAAAATAATTTCATAAGCCTCTCCCCTTTTATAAAGGGTTCTGCAATTCAGAATTTCAGCATGCGTGGCATGGAAAAGTAGCTGGTTTGATAAAAATGCAGTTAGGAAAAGAAGTTTTAATCATGTAAACATTTTAGGATTTTTGACTGTCTATTTCACTTTTAGTCTAGACTTCAGAGTACGTGTGTGTGTATGTAATGAGATCTAACAGACCTTTTACTGATTAAAGTAGAAGAGGAAGGAACTAGAGGAGAGGAGCATGGTAGGATAAGTGACTTGTAAATTGTATTTCCATGCACCTTGCTGGAGTGTTCTTTATCCATAACAACATGATCTTGTGCCTGTTTTCTGTTCCATATGTATGCCATTTATAACTGCTTCTTCTCCCTTGATGTCAGAGCAGACATGTTATTAGTGTAAAAATTGTATTACGCCACACATCATGTCTGATTTTGAGAAATTCTGAAATTCCAAGGAGAGGTTTATCGATATGCCAAAGAGCTTGAAGAAGGCAATGGCATATTACACTGGGGATCTTCAGAGTTAGCAGCATGAGCTGCTGGAGCAGTTCATTTTGACATGTTCTTTTTCAAGCCTTTTTCCAGTTATTTTAGTTAGCATGATGGGCTGGTTTGGACTTCTTCATTGTTTTATGGCAGTATGAGCACATCCAGAGGTGTTCAGGACTATGCTTGGGTGTCTAATTTAGGACAATATGCTTTAGTATCCCAGTAAGTCTAAATTACCAGTTATGTGATGGTGTTTGTTACTTTCCTCAGTTTCCTAATCTCTCCTAAACATCAGTTCAAGCATTTATGCCATAACAGAGCTAGCTTACAGCATGTGAAACTCTGATGTCAATACTACCACGTGGAGAGAGACAGACATTACTTGGAGCCGTATGAAAAGGGTAGGGAGGCATTCCTAGGTACGTGACCGTGTTCCTTCATTTTGGGAATAAGTCACAACGAATGCCATATATGTATATACCCAAGTTTTCTGGCAGTATTGGATCTGGATCAGGTGGATTGCTCCAGCTTTCCTTGAAGAGAAGGCAAGCTCAAAGATAGTTAATTCTAGCTTAAATTAGCTAATGCTCTATTTCTTGTTTTATATTCTTCTCAAATGTATATATTTTAATCAACTTGTATTATCCACAGGTTTTTATATTACTAAAATATAACTTGTATTTACAAACATTTTCATCTGATATTTATTCTTTCTTTCTCCACATTTCCTTGTACCCATGATAAAATGTGTA